CCCCAAAACCCCAAAACCCCAAAACCCCAAAACCCCAAAAATTTTAAACCTCATTGAAGATATTACCGAGATACCGAAGCGTAAGTGATTGCATCTGTGACTAAGGTGCGAAGTCTGAGTAAAGAAACATCTGTATCATGGCTTTCATCCGTATTGAGGGTTTCTGGATATAATTTTAGTGCAAGATGTTCTAAGGCAGTTGCGAATCCATCCAAAGTCATCTCATTTTTGCACGACCGTCTTCTATAACTCTGATACAGCATTGTGTAATCAGGTTTTGTGAAAGTATCAGTTTTCATCCCAGGATAGTTAGATAACTTTAGGAATTGGGATACAGTCAGGTTATTTGGCTTTTTATACCCAGCTAGGAGCTCAAAAAGAACTCTTATGTCATTATAAATAGTGAAGGGAGCGTATTTTTCTACATCTTCAGGTGGGAATACTTTTTCAAACACATATGAGCTCTTTTCACCTGAAATGATTAATCAGAGCACTTACCTTTGGGCTCATCCTCACTAAATTTCGGTTTGAAGTTATTTATACCATAGACATCATTGTTAATTACAAGATCTAGAGCTTCTTTCAAAAGTAAGGTTTTAAGATATTTGTCTAAATCTGATGGAACTTTATGAGTCCTTGGTCTGCCTCCTTCATCCTTAAATACTTGTTCGTGCACATATCACATGCTTGGATGAGCATTTACTTCCATTAGCCAGCATTTATAGTCTGAGTCGATTAAGATATCAAACCCGAAGATGTGGAATCAATTCGTGTTTCACTCTCCCTGTAATCCTATCTCTGTGTGATAGGTGTTCACGAGAAGAGGCTGGAATGCAAGCACAATCTTGGTAGATATATCTTTTATTTGCTTTTTAAATGTCGTCTACATCAACTCCTTCTTTCTCAAGTTCTTTCCAGACACTTGTGAGAAGTCTCTTGGACCCATTATCCTTAGGTCCTAAAATCTTCACTTTTTATAAATTTCCCATTTTCCTTATTAAGTGCGAAGTTCGTCAAGTGGTTGTATAGTTTATCTTGGTCTGTATCTTCTTCATTGTTATCGAGTAATAACTTAGGATCGGTGTATTCCTCAGTACAGAACCTGGCCATACCTTCTAAGCCAACAAAAGCTTCTAGGTAATCTACTCCTTTGATCAGGAGGTAAACTCTCAGATCAAACTTGTTGCCCAGCAGTAGAGGGTTCTGGATGTACTCTTGAACAACAAAATTGACAGATTTAAGAGCATCTTTTGAAACATCTTTATTTCTTCTTCACAAAGAAAATTCCCTCTCCTCCTTTGCTCATTGACGGCTTAGCAATGAAGACTTTGTCAGGGCTGCTGCTGAATTTTCGACTGAAAGCTCTGAACTCATCTGGAAGTAAGAATGTATCAGGGATGAAGTCGAATTCTTCAGGGAAGAACCTTGTGTACTTCCTCATTATACTATGAAACTTGCTATTTTCTGCAAATTAAATTAGCCCTTGGGTATCTATTGAAGTATCACTTATTTATAAGCAAGGATTTTGAGGTCAATGTCTCTAAGGGCACTCATAAACCATATAAGTGAACCTGTGATAGAATTATGGACTTCTTTCCATCTATTCTGACGACATAGCTCCTTTAAGGTGTATCTTTCCAGCTTAGAATGCCTAGTATTGATGGTAAATACCTCTTCCTCCTCTTTTAGCATCTTTTTCTGCCTGACTGTCCTCACCTGCCGAGATGTAGGAGGAAGTCTTGGAGTAGAAGTATACTCAGATTCCGAAATCAACCGTGATTTGTAATGCTTAATAGACTTTGGGTAAAAATTATCCAAAATCTTCTTGCTCTCTTTTGATGGAGAGATATCAGGCAAGTCGAGACCTGAGGGCTCTGTTTTAGTCTCATACTGGGCCTTGCGGCCTCTTGACTTCATTTTTCGTTTCTGATCTTCTATGATAAACATTTATCTCTCTTGAGAGCATGAACTTGCATTGAAAAACTAATATATTTGCATGAAATAATTGGCATCTAACTTACCTACGATGCTACTTTTTCTTCTATTTGTGAAGACGGACATTATATTTAATATATAAATAATTTCGGGGTTTTGGGGTTTTGGGGTTTTGGGG